CCCTCAGAGCCCGCGCGTGGGAACCCCCCCCAGGTACGTCATCAGTAGCCTGGAGCTGCTCGTGGCCGAGGACTACATGATCGTGTACCTGAACGGGGCCACGCCGCGCCGGAGGATGCCGGGCATCGGCTGGCTGAAGAAGTGCTACCACATGATTGACAGGAGGTGAGGGGGGGGGGCCGTCCGCGTCATCCCCACCGGTGCCCGAGGCGGGAGGCCCCCTTAGGGCCCCGCAGTGTCTGATCCATGTGTGGGAGCACGGAGTCCGCCAGGCTCATCCTCGGAGAGGCATCCGGAAGAAGGCCTTTTCTTTTTCGTGGCTGAGTACTATTCCAGCCTGTGACCGAACTGTGTAGTTTCTGTCCGTCCGTCTGTGAGTCAACACGGGCTGTCTCCACCTTTCCTGTTTTATGAATAGCTGCAGATAGATTCTTAAAACCTGCAGCTCTTCCTAGAGTCCAGGACTCTGTGTGTGTGTGTGTGTCTGTCTGTGTGTGTGTGTGCGTGTGTGTGCGCGTGTGTCTGTCTATGTGTGTGTGTGTGCGCGTGTGTGCGTGTGCGTGTGTCTGTGTGTGTGTGTGCGCGTGTCTGTGTGTGCGTGTGCGTGCGTGTGCGTGCATGTGTCTGTGTGTGTGTGTCTTTGTTTGTCTGTGAGTGTCAGGGCCACACCGGGCCTCACCGCTGCCTGGTGCTGACGCGCCCCGGAGCCTCTAACTCTGCGGCTGAGGGGACCTGGGCGGCCGGGCTGGGAGGGAGCCGTCCCCCTCGGGCCCCCTGCGCCCACACCTGACCGCGTCCCTGCCCCCCCTCCCTGCAGACTGCGCAAGAACCTGAAGTCCCTGATCATCGTGCACCCCTCCTGGTTCATCCGGACCGTGCTGGCCATCTCGCGGCCCTTCATCAGGTGGGGCCACCGGGCTCTGCGCCCCAGACGCTGCCGCCCAGACCCGGGGACCCCGTCCCGGTCTCCCCCGCCCCGGTCTCCCCAGCCCCGGTCTCCCCAGCCCCGGTCTCCCCAGCCCCGGTCTCCCCAGCCCCGGTCTCCCCAGCCCCGGTCTCCCCGGTCTCCCCGGTCTCCCCGGTCTCCCCGGTCTCCCCGGTC